GATCTACCCCTTCACAGAATAATGTGCGAACTGACAAACTAGTACCATGAAGTCATTAGATTTATTTGTTTATTTTTCTCATTTCTGAACCACCCTTCTCCCTCAAGAAGGACTGTGGGAGGTGTAGAATAAAACGTTAAAATAGGACACGAATTTGGTAAAACAGATTAAAGATCAAACTCGAGCCCATATAAAGAGAATTTATAATGTTTTAATAGAATTGGATTCTGAAACGGAGTTAGTTAAAGACTGTATGGTGAAATGGGCACAAAATTTTCAAGAGCCGATTCTATTGGACACATGGGAGACAATTTGGGTTAGAAATGTAAAATTTACTCAAGCTCAAAATTTGAGAGAAAATTTTTATAAAATGTTTTATAGGTGGCATTTGGATCCTCAAAAGTTGTCTTGTATGTATCCCAATTTGCAGCCCAAATGTTGGAGATGTGGTAGTTTGGATGCAACTTACTTTCATATTTGGTGGACTTGTAGATATATAAAAGCTTTTTGGATTAAAATTTGGTGGAACATTCAAAATATTTTTAAAAGAAAGATAAAGTTTACTCCTCAACTATTTTTGTTGGGTATAATTGTAGAGTTTGATGTTAAGGAAACTAATTTGATGTTGAATTTAATAATAGCAGCAAGGCTGTTGGTAGGGCAATATTGGAAGAAGAATTGTTTGCCAACTGTAGAAGAATGGACACTTAAAGTGTCAAATTTAGCAGAAATGGCTAAGATTTCTGCTTATTTGAAGGATCATTCACAAGAAAGATACATTTCGGTTTGGAGAAGATGGATAGATTATATTCAGAATAAATATGGGACTAAAAAGTTCCATTTATTTTATGAATAAATTTTAGAATATTATTATTGTTACTATTATTATTAATAATAATAGTTTAGTATAGTGGAATTTTTATTATATTGTATTGTTTATGAATTAGAATTTTAATTTGTTTATATGATTAAGTTTATTCGCAAATTGTTTATTCTGTGTTAAAAGGGAGTTAAAGCCCATTATATTAGATCATCTACATAGCTGGTTAATGTTAGTTAGATTATGATTATTATATTTTTTACCCTGTATTCAGCTCTCGGAAGTGGGGGAGGGGGGAAGGGTGGGTGGGTTTGGGATATATTTTGTAATTTTTGTAAAACTTTTTAATAAAAAAAAAGTTAAAATAGAAAACAGTACATATAAAAGATAAAAAAATTTAAGAGGAGGCAAGAGATTAAAATTAGTTAAAAGTCAAAGGGACTTTGGGAGGGGTTTAACCAGCTCCACATCTGTGTGCTCCCCTGCAGAAAATTCTGTGGGAGCAGGGCAATGGCAGAGAAGGCTCTTTCTAATTCCCACCAGTTGGAATTCTTTAACCTGACTGGCTGGGACAGGCTGATGTAATGGGATGAAAAAGGTTTCATAGGTAGCCTGGTCCAATATCATGTAGGGCTTTATACTGTAGGTCACAACCAATGCAATCACTTGCTTTACAGCTGTCACAATTTACACTTGCCCAGCTCATTTAGTCCAGTAAAAAGTCTAGGTTGGCATTTATTTTAGTTAAAGGAGCTATCAATTACTATAACTGTTAAGCAATAAAAAGGATATTTATTCCAGGCACCAGAAAGAATACTAGAGTGGTATGTGAAGCAAGGGCAACAAAGAATGAATATATTAATTCCCTTTAAAGGTATCTGGAGCCAGAACCTTGAATAAAATTTTCAGTCAGATGTATATTCAATCAATATACATCTGACTGAACTATATACAGTACATCTGACTAAACTAGGAGTGAGGCTTAATTAAGACTCTACACTGAGATATCTGTTCACTCAACGATAAGATTTGAAATATCAATTTAAAAAAACTTTTAAGAGTTATTATTTCTACCTCATTGAAAAATGTTGCATTCACAGGTATTCCTCAATCTCAAGGTAGGTAACATGATGCCTGTTGAATATTTTTAAATTTATTCATCACATTTCTATAGCACCCATCTCGCCTAAAAGGTTCTGGGCAACTTACAATTAAAACATGTCAAAAAATATAAAAGCATAAACAAGAACAAAGTTAAAAGATAGAATTAAAAGACAAGTCAATGGTACTAAAAGTTAAAAAGCTAAAAAGGGTAGAGAGAACATCTTAATGACACCAACTAATTACATTTCCCATCATTTGCTTTCTAATTCTCTAACTGTAGTAGGCTGCAGTAGTCCAAGACTTCTTCATGGCAACATGTACCTATTCATACAATATTCCTACCCTCTTCTCCTCCACTCTCATAACTATTTTTAGCCATGACATCTAAATAATGCAACTTACAATTATCTCTAACAATACCTCATTGGAATTGAAAGTGTATTTCAGGATTTGGGTTTTAATTTTGCTCTGGAGGTGAGCAGTGGTTAATACTAACTTTATGGCTGGTCATCATGAGAGTGAAATGACTGGTAATATAATGGATCAGCCTATGTGAGGAACAGAAAGTAATCCATAAGCTAGTCATAGGTCAGCCAAAACTATGATTTGACTATGATAGATGGATTAGATCAAAATATCCCCATTCACACAGAGTTAAGCAGCATGCCTTTATGTCAGAATGAATTATCTTCTAACAAAAGATCTTTATGAACACGCTGGCTGAGGAATTCTGGGAGTTGAAGTCCACAAGTTATAAAAGGGCCACTTTGAAGACCCCTGAGCTAAGGAACAACTTGGTCAAGGCAACATGCAGAACCACACACAACCCCCAATCCAAATCTTTTATAGGTTTGTCTAACAGTTTTTTTTTTTCAACCCTAGTCAGCATTTGTGGAACTGAATCCTGCTTCATAGCAGTCTTAGCACAAAGCACATCTGCCTTCTATACACAATATATTGCACATATTGGTAGACTGAAGTTTTAAAACCTGGTGTTTTTCTCCCATCTTTTTGAGTTAAAAGATTGGAGCCATTGTTTTTCCCAGTCTTAAAGTCAGAAACATGTGTTCTGTGTTCACATAAAATCCTGTCTGGTCTGACAATCAGTGACTCCCAGCTCATCAGTTTTAGCCATTAACAATTGGGACTTAGGAAAATCAGAGTCCAACAACAGCTGTAGGGTCACAAGTTGCCCATTTCTGAAACAACAGAAGGTATTCACTTTCCCATCAAATCGGGATACAAGGCCCATATGCTCATCTTTCATGGAACTATGGCAACCTAAAGCCAACTGCAGTTTTGTCCTATTTCCATATGGCAATTATAAGAAAACTAAACTGTACATCTTATTGGTTAAGTAATGAATACATTACTCAATACTGCTCCCAAGTGTTTCAGCCCATCCACTTTGACATATCAGCTCAGCCCCCCCCCCCCAAAAATGTTAGGTGCAGCTCATGGCCATCAAAAGGTTGTCCCTCTCAATCTAGCAACAATGAATTCACAAGAAAGTCTGCCTGTTACATATCTGATTAAGGAGATTATGCAAAATAATCCATTCATTTTTCATCAGACATAGAACAAATAAACTGAAGATTTACCGTTTGAAAGAGATTACAATTTTAAAATTAATTGATCTTAAAACAGAGATTCTTTTGTAAATTTATGCAATTCCTTTCCTATATTTTCCCCTTATTTATTATAGGCTGCCTGCCAAGGCAGTCTTAGCTTTGCCTCACCAACATGTTCTATTGCTTTGTATGTTATAAATGCAGATCATTCTGACAATGAGAATTTTCCTCTATCAAGAACAGGTAGACTTGAACTAATCCAAGTCCTATGAAAGTGTTGGGAAGCAAAAAGCTTCACTTGTTTGGAATACTAAAAATAACCACAATGCATACCATTGCAAATAAAATTAATCAACTTGGATGGATTTCCAGATCCTTCCCTCTTCATAAGTTCCTTGGAGATTTTCCCGCTGAGACTTGACATGGCACTGCACAATCATTTCTCACTGCTGATGATTTTCACAGGAAAAGAAGGAAATGAAGCTATATTATTCCAGAACCACAGCATAAGCTACAGGAAAGATTCCTGGTCCTGTACAAAGGGCTGTTTAAAAAGATCTCTTTCTTAACAGGTTGCAAATGCTAGATAGTTCCCCAACCAAATCTGCTGTTTTCTAACTGCCAGGATCAGAAGACACTTCAGTCATAAATAAAGAAACTTTGCCTTCATCCCTACACAAGGAAAGGAGCTCCACAAGAGTTAGCCTTTCCAGTTCGGCATTCCTGCCCTGCTCCAGGATATCTGGATCAACAGGGTCAAGTTTCCCCTGCACTTTGCCAGATGCACAAAAAAAGCAGGGACCAAAGCTAGTTTTCCAAAAACATCTACGACAATGTAAAAATGCTTGGGGCCCTTCCATTCTGTGAGCTGAGTTGGAGGAGGGCAGAAAAAAGGAAATGGCAAGATATTGGTTTTGTTGCCATCCCGTCTTTTCTTCTGGTGAGGATGCATTTGTGGGTTGTGATCAGTATTTTAGTGCTGCTTCCAAAAATCAGCTACACTCCATCATGACAGATGCTCTTTAATCAAAACCATTGTACTGAAGAAAATGGATGACCCTTTCTGACACGCCATCCCTGCTCACAGAAATTCTAAACAAAAGCACCCAGGCTGAGACTTCTTCAGTGGGAACTCCACTAGATGTAGTGGTGCCCAGAGAACCTTTTCTACTAGGACTTGCATTCGAGACTGGGCTAGGATTTATTGCGTTGCGATTCGTTTCCATTCAGGCCAGGGCCGACTCAGCTACTCCGAACATGTGCAGAGTACCCTTTCTCACAATGCTCGATTCTGCCCCACCCACCCAACGTAGGAAGCCGCGGAGAGCCTGAACCAGCGTTTTCACCGATTATTAAAATACACACACACACACACACACACACACACACACACACACACACACACTCCACAGTAGGATTCTGGATCTGGCCCTTTCTGCAGCTTTTGCTCCCCTTCCAAGTAAGGCGACCCCAGGATGTGTGCGACGCCTTCCAAGCCAGCTCACCTGTTAAACACTTTACGGATCTTCTGGCGCACACCTGGAGGAAGGCGGGGCGGAGATGCAGCTCCGACCGCCGCCGCTGCCCTCGGAAGGCAGATTCTCAATGGTCGCCACGACATGGTTGGGCTGCTGTAGCTGCTGCTGCTGATCCGGAGAGATCATCGCGGTGGGGTTGGCGATCAGAAGAGAGCAGCAGGGCGCATCGTGCGCCGCCCGGCCGCCGAGGCGAGAATCCCGCGGAGGATCCAGAGAAAGCGCCCGCGGGGGCGGCTGCGGGGGCTCCCGCGCTTCTCTTTGGGGCTCCAGCTCCAGCCGCCGCCGCACGCCTCAGGGCTGCTCGGCCATGGAGTGAAGGGTTTGGGGTTTTTTTTTTGTAAAGGGGGGATATCCTTCAGTTGCAGCCGCCCCTGTCCTTCCCCAGCAGCAGCAAGTGTCCGCCAACGAGAGGTGCCGCGAGCAACCGGAGTGACGGCAGCCGCGGGAACCCGCTGCCTCGATGGGGTTGCCTGGTTCTTCTTTTGTCTCTCCACAGCTCAGCTCAGCCCAGCCCAGCCGGCGTCTCGCTCTTTCTCGGCGAGGCGCGATCAGGTGCAGCGCTTGCTCGGCGCTAGCTGCACAGCCCGGACAAGGGAGCCGCCTCTGCGCGCGCGCGGGCACGCGCGAGGATCAGGGAGCTCTTAAGGCAAGAGAGTGCGGCTGCAGACAGCCGAGACCAGCCGAAGCCGCCAGCTCCGTGCGCCCCCCCCCTCCCCAGCCCTCTCTGTCCCCTGTCCCCGCCTTCCAGTTTAGTTGCGCCCACTAGAGGGAGCATGCAGGATCGGACGTCCTCGCCTACCCATCCGCTATCTTTCCCCCTGCCCTCCTTTCCCTTTCGGAATTGTTTGCCGGGAGTTGTAGTTTCCTGCGGCTCTCAGGTGCTCAGAACCCTCCGCTTACCTTCAGAACCATTCGTGCCTGGACAGCTCCAAGCCGGCTCTTGCGAGCGGGGGCGTAAGAGCAGGAAGGAAAGAAAGAAGGCTAAAGAGTAAGGCTTATGTGCGGGCAATAAAGTCCATTTGCTGGGATGCATGGTGTGTGATCTGTATAGGGGTTATTTGTGGCAATTTCACTGTATACTTCGGTTAACTCCCAAACAGGCTGTTTCTTTCTTTAAAAAAAAAAAAAAGTCAAGCAGAGGAAATGGTAGGGAAAAAAAGGTCTGGTAGAGAGAAACGATGTTAAAACAGAACCAAGGAGCGTGTATTTGATCCACGTGTAGCTATCTGATCCAAACGATAGAGAAGACAAATTGAGGAAGTTGCTGGGTGTCTCTCAATGTTACCTGCAAGGCTACTGGGTGTTGAATAAAAGTTGCGCCTGGACTCTGTGCACAAAATGATCTCGTCTTACAACTTTTCCCAATTTATTGGGGAAACACCTGGGGATGAATTCCTTCTGGAAGCACAGCAGAACTAAGTGTTGCAGAAAGAAAGGGAAGAGTGGCTTCCTAACCTATGTATTTCTGATTCAGGAACCACAGCTGGGTTGGATTTGTGGAGAACTAACTTCAACTCACAACATAAGACATCTTTGTGGGGGTTTTTTCTCTCGCATGGTGCTCACATAGTTGAAGGGAAATCTGCAAGAGTAAACAAAAAACAAGCAGATGAATCTGGGTTGGAGCATCAACCATTAGGATAGCCAGTACCTCATTTGGAGGCCCATTTACACTGGAGAAATTGCTAGAGACAGGAGTGCTGATTGGAATACAGATCTGGATCGGGATTCCCAGGATAAATGAAAGTGCAGTACAAAGTATTGAAGCAAAGGAGATACGTGGGATGCTTGCTCTTATTTGCTGCTACCAACTTCCTCTGGAAAATCAAGGAAAGAGCATCAGAAGATTCTCTCCCATCCCCAAAGCTCCTTTGCATGGCAATAAGAAAAGCACTTGCAGTGTGAGCTACCTGGATTATTTCCTTCTGAATTTATTTGTTAATGACCAGAGCTCTTTTTTCTCATAGAATGCCCAGAACAGAGTTCCGGCATCTTTTTTGGATGGAACCTTGTAGGGTAGGCAAGGCGGGTTGTATGAAATGTGTGAGTTCCAGCACCTTTTTTTTAAAGAAAAAAAGCACTGTTAATGACTATTACATTCTGTGTTTCTGAATAGCTGATTTCAGCTTTATTTGAATCTGCAGGGATGTTTTATTTAAAAAAACCACAATTCATTCAACAATGAAGTTATTGTGCAACTACTAGGACATGTTTTAGTATTGAAAATGGCATATCAATGATAAATAACAATATTAATGTTTCTCTTGCTATTGTTGCAATGGTGTTTTGCCCTAATCAGTCTTGGTTGATCTGAGAAAACTAAGCAGGATCAAATCTGTCTACTGGTGGACTGGGAGACCACCAGGAAGTCCCAAGTTGATAGGCTAGACCAGGGGTGTCAAACTGCCAGCCCGCGGGGCGGATGCGTCATGCCAAAACCATTCCCACCCCAACTCCAACAATGGGGGAAAAGTTGCGATACGTCACATCATGTGACGTGACGAGTTTGGCACCCCTGGGCTTGACTGAGATATTGGGGAAAAACTTGGAAGTCAGTAAGGGGACACTCCTGCATCCCTGCCAAGAAAATTGCAAGGACTTTTTTGTCCATATTGTCCCCAGGAGCTGAGCTTGAGTTAAAGAAAAATTAAATGCAAAATTGAAAAAAATGAATTTGTGATTTGTGACTTTGATGATTAGACAGGATAGATTATAGAAAGAAAAGAATCATGATGTAACTTTAAAGAATGAACTTAAAATACAATTGTACCTATAACTACTGTGAAGACTGTTGGAAGCCACTTCTTTGACTCTTTGTTTCTATTTTTATTCAACTTTTTCTTTTCTTACACTTATTGCTTTCTTTTTGCTTTCTTTCATCTTCTTTATTTTATATTAGTTTGCGTTAGTTTTTATCTTATTTTTTAAAAGCTTCAATAAAAATATAATTGTTTTAAAAAGAACTTAACAATAAAGTTTTTCATTTTCCATTTGTTTGCTGAATTAACAATGATTTTTTTTCAGAGCTTCCTTGTTGAAAGTAACATACTTTGTTATTGTTCGTTGTTGTTTGTTGTTGTTTTAAAGCAGTAATCATTTGTCTCAGACCATTGGGATTTAGAAATCACAGACAAATGAGATAATAAAGCATGCCAGCTAGAAATGTATAACAACAACAAAGCTCTGCCTTTCAAGATTATTCCATTTCTAATAACTCTTAATTAATTAAACATAGACATGTATCCAGGTCTATTCCAAGCAGAGGAATTAAATTATAACTACTGTTCAGTTTGCCATCCCAACATACATGAATGCAGATTGTAATCCAGAATATCTACAGTTCCAGTCTGAGGAATGCTGATTGATAAAGAGCCCTTAAACTATGACTTCTTTATAGGTCCACTAAGATGAAAGTTCTTTGCCACTGGGTCATGGGATTAGATTTACCCCTTCAAGACTGGAAAACAAAGCTATGATGTTGATGGGATTAATCCACCACTAGTTCCTTTCTTTCACCAAGCTTACTGCTATGCCAAATATCAGAAAAATTGATGCTAACAAAGAGTTGAGACTGAGATGAGTTAGTGTTAGCCCTGTGAGGTAATTTATAGAAGAAGCACAACCAGAAATACTATCTCTACTTTTATTGTAAGATTACCTTCACACAATCTTGCAAATTGAAAGTATTTCTCCCCTCTTGTCCTTTTATTCTCCAAAAAACTAGGAAGGAGGCCTTTTCAAAGGTTTCCCATACCTTTCTTCCTTCTGTGGGCTGAGACATTTTTTACATTCCAATTGTCCACTTGGCAATTCTCCTTCCTATCTCTTGAGGTCATTCCCACATACCGTTAGGAATTGGGTTAGAAAGACTGACAATATAAAAAATTATGAATTTTCTCATCCTTCATACCATCAGAAATTTAGAAATTGGAGAACAGGTCTATATTATTACTTCCTGTTCTGTCCCAGCCTGTGTGAGTCCTTGTGAAGCTCACAAGGAGAAACCCCTCTTCCAACAATCAGGCTGGAACCACAGGAAAAAACCAATCCCCTTTTATTATTTACAGAACTGAGTAAGATGTCCAAAGGCAAAGGCAAACAAAACACAATTCACTGAAACTTGATTCCTTAACACAAATGGTTGCCTTCAGCAACCAGTACCTCCCACACCTTCCCTTTTATTATGCAGCCCAAGGCGTAGCTTCCTAATGCCTTCTCCTTTGCCTCTGAGCCACCCCATTGCATTCCTCTGTCCAACTCTCTTTGCCTGCCGGCATTTACAAGCATCCTGGATGTCTTCCAGCTGTGAGTCCTCACTGTCCAAGTAGGCCTCCAGCACAGCTGTGTCTCAGCCTGAGCGCAAGTGGAGGGGCCAGACTCCTCGTCAGACTGTAAATCTTGGAGCTCATCAGAGCCTTCCTCTGACTCTGATGTCATTCCAGGCGCCTCCTCCTCCTCCTCTGATTCCCCAGACTCAGCTGCTGGGTCCACTGGCTGAAGAGGAATCCCAACACTTCCCTTTGCTTATAATCAGACAATTTTTAACTTACAAACCAAAAACAATAGCAGGAAAAGCAGCAGATACTGCTTTTCTACTCATTTTAAGCTACCCAGTGCAGTGTTATTGCATTTTTGCTGGGTGTTCTTATATTAAGGGGACTAACAGATGCCTTTTATTGTGTTGCTTCTTATCATTGTCTGATTGTTTTGGGTTTTTTTTTTTTAAATTGTTCTGTGATTATTTTAGTGCTTTTTAAAAAGTGCATTAATCTTACCTGGAGTGTTTTGGTCAACTGGTAAGTCCATCTTGTAGCAATTGCTTTTTTTTTTTGTAGAAGAAAGAAGAAATAGTTATTTTGGATCACTTGTTTTGTTATGAACCCGGAGACTTTTTCAGAAGTCCTGATTAATATAAACAACTAGAAAGTGGAACAACAATCCATTTCAGTTATTTTATCAGCTGTATTAGTAAAATCAAGATAAAGTTGACAGATGGGATTTGCTCCATGTTTTAACTTGTTTGATGATTAATGTAGGCAAGAAATCTGAGAAGTGATTTCTCATAAAATCCTCTGCCATTGGCCTTCATTTTTGTGCCCTAAGATTATTATAATGCCAGGGAAAGGATTTGTTAGATGAATACACACACATAGCATGTGAATTATGGTGGGTAGTTTTATAAGCTAAATTAGCAAGCTATATTCTATCAGGAGAAATTTTCTTACATGAAGATTTGTGTTTGTGTTAGTAAAAACTGAACAAATAGCTTTGCAGTTTATTACTTTGTTCCATCCTGCCCAACACTAACCAACCCACATCCAACTAACCATGCCTTTTTCCTCTTCCTCCTCTTCCTCCTCCTCCTCCCAACCTAGAGTATTCTGGATCACGTGAACAGGATCCTTCCAGTTGGTTCTTTTCAATTTTGCCCAGTTTGGGGCTTCTTTTTTGTTTTTCTGCTAATTTTGAGATTCCCTTATGTTTGCTTACTCTTCTCAGTGGGTGATGCCACTGGGCATATATAAAGATCCATTCAGAGAATGAGTCTGAAGCCTTTGCCATTCTTGTACCTGGAAGATATTTAAACTGGAGTTTCCATAATCCTCCAACCATTGGCCTTGTTGATTTTGATCAATAAGACATGAAGTGTTCCAATATCTAAGGTGTTGCCATAAAGAAGAGGGAGTCAATCTATTCTCCAAAGTACC